ATCAATATTAGCCAATGCACATTCGCAATTATCGCTAGTAAAAAATTATCCTTTTCCGTGGCAATACGGTTATGCCATAAGGATATTTAACTCCATGTCAAAAGTTCTTCCTTTCAATGTCTTGTGTAATCCAGGTTGTATCAGCACATTTTTTACTTGAGTTTGCCACAAGCCAAAATTGATCATTCCATCGTATTTCTTTATGTAAAATTTGACAACACTTGCAAATGACATTGCAACTTCAACAACCAAGGATGATTCTCTAACAATAAGAAAATAATTTTTTCTGGTGTGGAAGATTAGGCTAAGTTGCCACTACAAAGTATATTAAGAATATCCTGATACCACTCTCATGGAAAAAAAAACCGTCATGAAGACCATCAATGTCTTTATCCCTAGAATTATCTACTAATAGAGAAATAAGATAAAAAACAATCAACACATTAATATAACATGGAAACTCCAAAACCGGAGAAAAACCACGACCCTTATCTAATGATAATTAGATAATAACATTATATGAAAATTTTTACAACATATAGACTACTCTTACTATGTGAAAATTTTTACAACACATAAACTACTCTCCCATACCCTTTAACCCTAAATACACTTACACTCTCCAAAGCAAGAATTTAAACCAAACCTTACAACATTCTACTACAAAAGTATAAGAAAAGTCAAATACATATTTTAAGTGTTTTTGACTAGAGTATCAAAACATCATGAATTTTAAGTCTATTATATAATTACTATCACCCACTCCATTATTTATCTTAGATGATGTGAGACTTTTCAAAATGTATTATTTTCATCAATCTAATGCATAGGATGATAATTCTAGTTTGACTTATCGTCATATATGTGAGACAAAGACAATATAACTATAATTGTATATGAACCTTAGTTGTATCTTACATACAATAATAATAATTGGTAGTGAAACTATAGTTATATGTGATGACAATTTTTTTATGAATTGTCGTTGTATGTCTTATTATATAGTTCAACTCCTTTTCATTCTCATTTGCGCCACATATAACCTATATTCTTCTCCTCCTCCTCTCTCTCTCTCTCTCTCTTTTTACATGAGTTATGCTAACTCTCTATTGTCAATGTGCTTTTTTTCCCTCATTTAGACATAGATGTCTTGCACTATATTAGACACACATGTACAACATATTTTATTAATTTATTTAACATTTTAGGATAATTAACTTGGTAGTAGATTATAATTTATGTATAGTTTAGACATTGTTTCAATTTTGACAATAGTTTTTTAAACACTAGCTTCTAATTTTATTTAGGGTTTACGATGTTCAAGTTTTATAGTTTATTATTCTAGTAAAAATAGTATTAAATATTGTATTTTACATCAATGTAATTAATTATCTATTATAAATATGTTAACTACTAATTTGTAATATCTTGTAAATAGGGATGACAAAATGAGTCAGCCCATCCCGTTTTGGTCCGCCTCGTCTTTGACCCGCCAAAAGCGGGCGTGACGAGCTTACCCGTTATAGTCATACGGGCTGTAGACCTTGGCCCGCCTCGCCAAGGGGCGGGTTGACGAGTTGGTCTACCATAATTTAGAAAAAAATAATTTATTTTTTAAAATAAATTTTTAATAAATTTAATAATAAGATTATTATTTGTTTGTCAATAATTCAATATATATATATATTATTTCAATTTAATAATATAAATCAATACATTATTTTAAGAAATTATAATTTAAAACAATAATAAAATTTACATAATAATAAATAATTACAAATATATATATATATATATATATATATATAAATAACGTTAAAACTTATAAAATTTATATTTTTTATATTGAAAAATTCAAATACCTATATCTTTTTTATTTGATAAAACTCCACATTATTCTTGGTTGAATAATTCTTACACTTTTAATTCAAGTCATAAGGATAAAAATAATCAGTGCTTATGATGAATAAGGAAAACAGGAGAGAGAAAGTTATGTTTCAGTAAGGAGAATATTTTCTGTGAGGGTGAAACTTTTTTAATTATCTTTTTAAAATTTTTAACTTTATATATTATCTTTATAATTAATTTTATTACAATAAAAAATTATTTTTTATTAATTAGGCGGATCGCGAGTCGGCCCACCCCGTCCGACGGGCTTGGCGGGACGAGTCAAAGCGGGCTGGTGGCTGAAAACACCAACCCGCCCGCTATATTATGACGAGCTAGCGGTCGGCCCACCAAACCTAACCCGTTTTATCATCCCTAATTGTAAAATACAGGTGTACATATTGATATAAAACATATTACACTATAAAATAATTTATTACGATGATTCTAATTATAATTGTGATTACGTATGTGTTATACGATCATGATTCTAATTGTCATAATATTTTTTCTTAATTTATTTAAAATTATAATATATAATGATGATTTTGTCCTTACTTATCATTAATAACATTTCTTAAAATAATAGCTGAAACTTACTACATGAATAAAAATTATCAATTATCTCTAGTTTTAATAATAGTTCATGAATAAAAATTATCAATTATCTCTACTTTTAATAATAATTCAATCAAAAACGTATAATTATATATATTAATCATAATCAAAGACCATAAATATAATTATTTTATATATTTATATTTAATGTGATATTTGATTTATATAAAAATATAAAAAATTGTAAGAATTTTATGGAAAATTCATAATATCACTTCATAAAATTAATAAAGATATGCATTACATTCACAATTGATTTATTTTTATATATAAATATATTATTGATTTAACTTTATTTATGATATTTAGGAAAAAAATTCTAGTACTTTCATAACTAATAAATATAAGTAAAATATAAATAGTATCTTTTAATTATTTGAGATATTATTTTTAATAAAGTATTTTTTATATCAAATTTAATAACATTCACTTTAGTATTATTTTAAATATAATAATTAATGAAATTAAATGGTATTTATTTTTTAATCAATGCAAAAAATAATTATTTAGGTTATATATATTTATTTATTTTAGTGCATGTATTAATTAAACCTTTTGTTTGTGATTATGATGTTGGCACCAATCATGTATGCATAGAGAATGGATGTAAACGAGGAGTATTGATTAGCGTCTTATCTTTTGAGTGAAGAAGGTCAAATATAAATACCTAAACGAAACAAATACTTGAGGCACAAGCCAACCAAACGTTTACATTAGTATAACACAAACAAGACAAGGTGGCAGTGGTGACTGGTGGGTGAAGCAGAAGCACACCACATGAAACGCCAAACCAAATTCAACACCGCCCTTTAATTCTTCTCAGAGCCCCACCCTCATTACACTGCGCAAGGTCGTTTTTTTTCGTCACCCTTTTCCGATTAAATCCTTGCCCTCTTCTCCAAACAATCACACCCTCTTCCTCTTCCTCTTCCTCTTCCTGCTCCACTGCGTGAAACCAGGACACCCCTTTTGCCCTCTTCACTTTTTTCCTCCCAAAGTCTTTACCTTTATCGGTTTAGCTGTCTAATAATCACCGTACAATGTACCCCATGTCACTTCTTTGGTCTGATACCTCAATTTGAAGAACTGGGTGGTGCTTGGTTTTTGCTGATGCCTGAGGATGTTTGACTTGTGTTTTCCCCTTGTTTGATTCTTCTGTCCTATTTCCCTTTCGATCCTCCAGTTTTTCTACCTGTTATTCCTGGCTTGCCGCTCCTTGCTATAATTCCCTCTAGGTTATTGAAGGGTTTATTAAATTTAAACATTGATTGCCTGAAGGTTTTTGTTGGGTTCAGTTTATGACTAATTGGATTAGACACTAGAATTGTGGTTACATACAGCAGGGGACTCGTGTAGTACATCATAATCTTTTGTATTCTGTCTTTGATTCAGAACTATCCATTTTATTGCCCCCTTTTTTTAATGAAGCAAATTGCTTCGTGTGACAAGAACTTGAGACTGAAATCAAACCCTTTATTATTTGAGGGCAAAAGGGGTTAAATGCATACAATGAGGGATAATGTTTTTTAATGAAGTTTCCTCATTATCACCAAGTGTTCAGTGAGTTTTGTACATGTATATATCGAGAAATAGTGAGCAGGTCCTTATTGCAGTGTGCAGAACATCACTTTTGATCATTTGCAATTTGGGAATTTGAACTGAAAGACTTCAGCTTGAGAGAGGTTGGTTATTTTAGCATTGATGATTTTAACAGAGTGATATTTAGTAGCATTGGATTGGTCATTCGGAAAAAGAGAAAGGAATTGCTCAGATAATTCAGATATTTAACGTGAAGCACAAATTACTTCCATCTCTGGAAAAGGATTGGCGTATTTGATATGAGGAATGGAAGGTGGTGATCATTCATTAGTACCACAATGGTTGAAAAGCAGTGGAAATGACAATAGGGTGACTGGCACAAACAACCAATTAACAACACCACACTCTGGTAATTGTTTATGCTTAGTGCTGAATTCCTGATAATAGCATGTTCTTATGTTAAAAAATAAAATTAGGAGAAGTATGGAAGAAAAAATTGAGATTCCATTTTTCTTTTCTATCCTTAGTTAAAAAGAAAATAAATAGTATGGGCCAGAAAGTAGCTTTAAGTTTGATCCATTATTGTAGCCAATTTTCCATCCATTCCCATGGCCATGCTGGAAAAAAGAGGGAATTCTCTTTAATCTTTTAATACTTGATAGGGAAATTCCCTGCATTAGAAAAGAGATTTTATTGCTCCCTTATTTTCTTCAACACATTTTGGTCCTAGGAACATTTGTTTCTTTTTCTCCTATACATGCTAGAGATGTTATTTCGAAATTAGGTGTATTTTATGCCAAATGTGAAATCTTATACTTTGATTTATGATGTATGATATTTCATCACCAAATGTTGCTTGTGTCTTGCAAGATACTATCATCCAATATATGGCATAACGGAAATAAACATCAATGAACAATTCGATTATGTTAAATATCCTTCTTGTGTCAGATCATATGACTTATTCCAGTCGTCAATGGAGTTCTAGCCTCTCAAGGTCTGATAGGGATGGGGAGAAAGATATTGACAACGATGGCCTGACCTCAGCCTCACATGATATTCCTATGACAGTTGGAATCAGAAACAAGGCTATGTATATGCATCAGTATAATATTTCTACAACTACTTCTATGGGCCTCAGTATGGCTGAGACATTAGCTCAGGGTCCACATCACTCTTACTCATCATCACAAGTATGTTTGATGTTCAACACTATTTTAAATTTTGTATTTGTTGAAATGTGTTCTGTGCCCTTATGGTATACTTTTCCATACAGTTATCTGCTAGTACTCAAAAGCTTGAAGAGTTGGCCCTTAAGCAATCTAGGTTATTAATCCCAGTGACACCATCCACACCAAGATCCCTGGTACGTGTTTCTTCTGCTTTAATATAGTTTTGAAAAACATTAATTTTAGATATATTGATTTTTTTCTTCAATAGTACAACTTATGGGTTTTGTACACAATGGAAATTTCATGGTACTTTTATATGTTGCATTGTGATTGATGTTCCTCCTGAGAATCTGCTAAACTAAATATATTTATATATAAATGTATTTTCATCCAACCTTATCGTTGTATGCTCTAATTAATGAATTATTTGAAGTGTTGAAGACATAAGCATATCTGTTTGTGGTAAATAATTTTGAATACTCAATTTATTGGCATATGCCTTACTAGAAATAATTATTAATCTTATTAGAAAACTGTGGATAGATGATGCATTTCCTCCTCGCTCTCCAAGGGGGAGGTATACGACATCTTAATCAATGGTTATTGACCTTTTTTTCATTGTCTTTGACTTTGTTCTATTGTGGAATTGATAGTTGTAGTCTACATGACATACAATCCTTATTTTTTTTGTTCTTCCTTCCTTTCAATGCACAGATAGAGTAAACTGATGAATTTGAATAGATATAGTTATATGAAGGCTGCATTTCTTCACCCGTTCCAACCTTTACCTTATTCTTAGCAAGAAAGGAAAATATCAATGACCCAACTATGATGGGACAATACACCAAAGACATAGTGAGGTTGGAGGTTAAAAAGATATGGTGGACCAGTTGGATTGTAATTGCTCTAAATTTCAGTCTACTATGATGCATTTGCTTATTTTCAATCGACACTAGCTAGATAAGAAGAGTTGTCTTCGAAGAACAACCAATAAATCTTAACCATGAATAGTTCAGAAGTACCACCTGGACCAATTCTGTGTAATATCACATTTGCTTTAGGTATTGATTAGAGTTTGAACTAATACAGTGCGTAAAGGCAACTTGTAGATTTGTAGTGCTATAAATTATTTAGCCATGGAGGTGACGTTTTTATATTTTCTGATTTGGATTGTATCATTTTCTCCCCTATTAATTTGTTCTGTATATGACCATTCTATAGCAGTTGAATTCCTTATGCTTGATTGAGGACCCATACCTTAGCAAAATAACTCCTTATCTATTGTATTATCTAATCTCTGCTATACTCAGTGCATTGATGCTAATTTTTTGGAAGTAAACAGTAATAACTTGTAGTCTTCTACCAAAAGCTAACAACATTAAGCAATTAAAACTTTCTTGGACTGAGTTTGTGGCTGGCTATGCAATTTAAGCACAACAACTGTAGGGAAATTTGCATCACTAACTAGCAGTTAATTATTGTTGGTAGTATTTGATGTATTACTAACTTTGGAATATGAATATCTTGTAGGTTGCTAGCTCTTCAGAGAAATCCAAGGTCAAGACAGGGCGACAGCAGTATCCCTTATCCTATTCACGTCGACCCAGTCATTCTTTACATGGTGCTTATCCAAACTCAGACGTACAGAAAATTACTTCTGTTAATTCCCTTAATGTCAGTGCTTCACGAGAGTTGAATGGTGTCTCTTCAGCAGTAAAGGATAATTTAAGTCCGAATAGTAGACCAGTGCTCAGCCCAGTTGGTGCTACTAGATCCTCTTCTATATATGCTCCCTCTAGAAGCTTAGGTAACAATTCAACCCCTTCTTCATGGATAACATTGGAGAAGAGACCTACTTTTCCTACCCAGAGCAGGAATGATTTCTTCAAGAATCTTTCAAGAAAGAGTTCCTTGGAAAAACCTGGTTCTGAAATTTTGCCTATTGACATGTCTTGTACCTTGGAGAAGTCTGAAGCCAGCACAAGGAATGTCTCTAGTTGTTCCATTCTGAAATCTAGAGACGCTTCTTCAGTGGATACCTCTTCTATGAACATGTTGAGTGACTACAGCTCCACAATTACTGTGAATGGCAATGCTGCCAATGAACCTTTGAAACCTTCTAGCAGTGGAGAGAATCAGCATGGCAGCAATCCTTTCCCTTACCCAGATGAGGAAGAGATTGCATTTTTACGTTCACTTGGGTGGGAGGAAAGTGCTGGAGATGATGAAGGCCTCACTGAAGAGGAGATACAAGACTTCTATGAAAAGGTTATTATTCTTTTGGAACGGTTTCTTTGCTGTAATTAATTTGGAATAATGTTCTTAGTTGAAAAATGATTGCTTTGTGATCTATGCATTTCTTTCCTCATGCAGTACATGAAGTTACAGCCATGACCAATTATTCTCCAACATGTGCTTCAAAGACAGATTGCACTGCTACTTGATTCTATTTCTGAGGGATGTGGTGGAGCTCCACAAGTAAATTATGTTTAGAACTTAGAAGTATGATATAGCAGGATTTGGAATAGCAAACTGATGTTCATTTACTATGTTTCTTTAGGTGAATTATTGTGTTAAAATTAGGGAAATGTGGCTGGAAGGTAGCTATTAGATAAGATTAGTTGGTTAATTGGAAATCTCTATCTGAAAAAAACTACAGGCTAAGCATAGACGCTTAACTAAGAACTAGTGAAATAATGATGCTGCATATAGTTTCATGAGCATTAGGAACAAATGAAGATACCAAATATGAATGTCCTTTTGTTTAACAGGACGCTGCCTGTAGAATAGCATACAGTAAAACAAAGAAGTATTAGATAGTTATTTTGTCTTCACCCTCTTTGATCTTTTCCATCTTGATACTGATGGATTGCTGCTATGTGTTAAAGATGCACACTGTGCTAGAGTTTCAAGTAGGACCACAGAAAAAATGGTTCCCATACTTCATTATCATTAGAAATAGTTGCTTTTGTTCTTTCCTAGTCTCCTTTATAAAACTTTTGTGGTGTCAGAACCATGTTCTGTTTTCTTTAGTTTTCTTGTCAATCATTTTATTATTACTTGAAAGAAGCTTCGATGCCAAAAGTTAGACCCCTGAGCTGCTTTATTCATCATCATATGAACAATGATGTTCTTTTTTGGACAACAATTATTTTCTGACGTATGATTATCAATCATGAAACTGATTTAATTTCATATAACTTAATGTACTGTATTTGATATTTTCTCAATCTACTTTAATGCATTACATGTTTTAGAAATATGAGTAAATGCATGTCAAAGATTCGCACAACAAAGTAAAAAAAACTCAAGCCACTATTGGGATCAGATTCCAGATAAGATTATCTTGCATTCATGTCTTATACAATACAAATTTAAATTTAGATTTTAACTTAACACCAAAACTTAATTTATGGAATGAGAATTATTGTTCACTTAAAAAAAAAAAAAAAAAAAACCATTTTATTGATACTTGTATTAATACAGAATCCCAGATTGCATGAGAAGGCTGACATTTTCATAATCTGTTGAACCTTGACCTACCCCAACAAGAATTCCATTTGCTTCAAATTCCAATGTTATCATTGCAAAAGCACGTTTCACAGTGAAAGCCATAAGTGGATGAATTTTCAGGTCAGGTCACAAAAATAAAATATATTTTCATGGTTCAGCACTAATGCATACAAAATCTTTTTCATGAATAAATTAAGCAGATGGTTGTGGGGTTTTGGAGACAAATGCTTTCAGAAAACAATCTTATTTGAAAATGATGATAGAGGAATTTTTTCCAATCTTAAGTAATTTAAACATGTTCTAAAGATTTCTTGACGAGATTTAAAAAAATTAATTTTAAAATTTTAAACTACAAAAATGTATTGAAAATCTAATGAAATGATCCAGATTTATACATCATTTCAATGTAAAAATAACAAACTAAAGTCGTATATTGGGTCAAAATTTGATTTTTTTTTCTTTTCAATTATTTTGCTAAAAACTCGATCCAGATCTCGAATTGATTTAGGTCAAACTAACCATTTCTTTTTAAATTATGTAGGGTTTAATGGATCAGCGAATTTATATGAAAACATGCCTCTCGTTGTTCATCACTCTTCTATTTTTTTTTTTTTAAGATTCGTTCAAGTTTCCTTTAACTATATCAAGAAAAATTATAATTTTTTCGAACTTAATAAAATGTTCATATGATTTTTTTTATATTATGATAAATTTATATATTTAAACTAGTTAAATATTAAATAATAATAATAATAATAATAATAATAATAATAATATAAATGCGAAAAAATTAATGCTATCTTGAAATTTAAAAATAAAAAAATTCAAGAAATAGAAAGAGTATGATTTACATTATTTATACAATCTTATTAGAATCTTACTTTTATAACATTAACGATGTTATTATATAATTTATTTGTTTTCTTTCCATATCCATTCACTATATATAAAATTATAATTTGGATATAATTTATCATTCATCATTAACAATTTTGCAGAAAGCTTTAAAAAAAATGCAGAAACCATGTGCATGGAGGTGGAAATTATAAGTCAAGTTTGGAGAAAATTGTAGAAATGATTTCTACTACAGTCAACAGTCAACGCTTATCTATTCCAATATCCATATATACTATTCATATTAAAGATCTTATTTAAATTATTTAAATCCTCAAAAATTCCAATCATTAAATCGATCAAATAGATTATTTTTAAGTAAATATATATCTATCCCACTTCAAAAATAAATAAGAGTTTACATCTATCAATTATTGGAAATATAGCGTTAGAGTGTATATCTATCTTTTCTTTATAATTAATTTTTTAAAATATTTTTCTCTACTAATTATCTATCATATTTTTTCTCGTATATCTTATTATTTTTAAATATACAAATAATAATAATAATAATATTTTTTCTTTAAATTATAATATTTTTCTCTGATAAAAAACGATTAAAAAATAAATCCTAATTAAGAAATTCCCACTAAGATATTATGACGAAGTCAAACTTGTCTTTTAATGTAGTCACATATTTTCCTCATTTTGTAATACATGTCTTTGAAACTTCTGATTCAAGTCAAATCAATATTTTCATCATTAATTAACTATTTAATGAAAGGATTAAATGTTGAGTAGATATAAACTTCATCAACCACTATTAAGCATTTGGCAAAATGAAAGGATAAAATTAAGAGGAATTTTATCTTGAGAATAACTCTTCCCAAAAACATTCATCCTAAAACTCAAATTAATTTGGTTCTTCTAATGAGAAAGTCACACAGTCCTAGATCGAATTAGAAACTCAATTTTTTTTAATATAACTTTTTACAAAAATATAACATTTTTTTTATTTATGTCAACATTAAATAATAACTATTTTATTATATTTTTATCTTATTTTAGTAATTATTCATCTTACACTAACTAATATATGTTATATTTATAATTTTTATGGTAACATGAGAGTAATGTTTACTATTCTTATTTCTTTTTAAAAAAATATTAGTACTAATAATTTTATTATATATTTATTATATTATAAAAATATTATTTTATTAATAGTTGAACTTTTAAATTTAAACCCATATCACTTGTTTATTTTAAAAATATTGATAAAAGATTTTAAAAATATTGATAAAAGATAAAAAGAAGATGAAAAATGTGAGAAAACAAATTAAAAATACATAAACAAATATATTTAATTATCATAAAATTTGGAAGATCAAAATCATAAATATGAATATTACAAAACTTTAAAAGATATTATCCTCCTCAATTTTCAACATATATTAAAAAAATAATAATAATAATAATATTTATTATTATTATTATTATTATTATTATTATTATTATTATTATTATTATTATTATTATTATTATTATTATTATTATCCATGCGACATATATGATCTTCCTTAACATCTATAAACTATTTTTGTATTAAATATAAATTTAAAAATATTACTACTATAAAAAATAAGTGAAATTACAATTCTCTTTTTATAAAATATTATATAGTTAATATTTTTATATTAAAGATAAATTTTGTCAACGTAATTATTAAATTATAATTTTATATTATCATAATTATTTATATTATTTTTTTTAAATTAAGTAATAAAAATAAAATAATAAAATAATTTATATTTTAGAATATTTTGAAAAGTATATTGTACTATTTTAGATTAATGTAATAAAATTTGTACATATAATTTATTTAAAAATAACGTTAGTACTTTAAAAAATATATAATTCAATTGAAATTTTTAGAATGATATATATATATATATATATAATATTCAATCAAATAGGAGATGCAACGAGGACACTCTTAGTAAAATTTGCAAAGCTTTATCCGAAATAAGGTAAAAGCATCTTCATGAATCCATGGATCTCATTTCATAAATAAGATTCAAATATTAGCTTCTTGTTGTGTGACTGATATGAAAATGTTGGAATGACAAAATTTTCCCAAACGAAGTTAAAGTTATTTGAATGAAAAAATAGGTTTACAATGACACGTGAAGCATTTATCACCATTCATCACCACACCTCACAAGCTCCTGCTCGTGTATGTGTGAACTTTAAAGCCACCAAGCGGCGCCGCAGCCATTTCTCTCGTTTTCCTTCATTATTCACGTACACTCAATTCTTCTCACATGTAAATAAAACTAACTATATAATGCATATTTCAAAACATTTAAATTTTATTTTTCAGGGGTGCGAATCTAAACAATATAATTGAAATAATTAAAAAGTTTAGGGTTTAACTGGTCATTTTCCTGATCTAACACTAATTATTAGTGTTAACAAATGACAAAGCTCGAGAAAGGAAATCAATATTCAAAATTGAAATTATATAAATGTGATTTTCCGAGAACAGGGTTTAATTATAAATAAAGCCTAACTTTCCAATTAATGTAAGTAATAACTCTAATGACTCCCAGCTAAAAAGATGTACATAAATGCATATTAAATCAAAATTGAAATTTCTATAATGAGAATAATTAATATTTTGGTTTCGACCTAATCTATCTATCTCTCTCTATATATTAACATGGACATGGGGATTATTTTAATTTTTTATATTAGTTTTATAATAAAAATAGATATTAGTATATAACTTTCTATGTTAGGTTGTAAAGTAACTCGACTATAATAATTTTTTTCTTATTATGTCTTAATATTATAGTTGATATTAAGATTTATAATTTAAATAATCATTACAATAGTTAAAATTAGAATCTTCACATTATAGTATCGTGACATACATTTTAACTATTAAAATAATTTATATAATTTTTTTTCATTATTAATATGAAATTATATATATATATATATATATATATATATATATAATTTTTCTTGTGAAAAATGTAAACATTAAAATGTGTTACATGTTCATATTTTATAATTATTTTAAATATTATTTTTATAATTAAAATGTAAACATTAAAGTAAATATTATTTTAAAAAGGAATATCTTTCTAATATATATAATAGATATATCTTGAGTCATTTGGTTCATGTCATCTCCATAACGTAGGGGGTGTGTGACGAAGTGGGGTTGAATAGAAGCTCATATTGGGTGCGGCCGACAGAAGAGGTTTTGCAATAAAACCCTAAAACGAATCAAGTCAAGGAAGTTTGGCATTTTAGACTAATTTTAAGACTCCATGGATGGTCCCAACCATGCATGGAGGCAAAAGAAACTTCAAACCTATAAAGTTGAAAATAAAAAATATACCACATAAACTTCAAAAATTTATGTTCACGACTCAATTTTACTGTTGTTGAAAATCAATGTTTATAACCAAGATTTAATACGTTGAAATTAAATTCTAGGCCACTGTTAGATTTACCTCTTGGAATTTTTCCATTATTAATTGCTTTGGGAAAAAAAAATTTCCCTTTCTTTCACCATGTCAATATCAGTATTTATTTCAGTAAGAGACTCCAAATGTTGACTTCTCCTTCTTCTCTAGACACAACCATTTCTGTCACTCCCATCTAACCTTACAAATTTCTTCCTACTATTCTCTAAAGAGGTAATTTATTATTAGTTAACTTTTTGTTGAAAATAATAATATTTTATAAGTTTTTCTCGTGATTTTGTAATTTTAATATTGATGAGTTAATTCAAATGAAAATCTGATTTCATATGATGAATGTGACATTTTTCATAATTGAACAGGGGAGTAAAAAATAAATACTAGATTTTTTTTTTTTAAATCCTTGACTTTTTTTTTTCAATCTCTCTCCATTTTTGTGATGTATTTTTCATCCTTTCTTGTCACACTCACTCACTCCCGTTCAATTTAACTTTTCCTATCTCTCTGTTTCTCATAGGAGTGTATTACAGTTGAATCATTCCGACTATGACAGAAAAATGTGCAAGGAATAAAATTAATTATTTCCTTTTGGCTAGTTGAATTACGTGTGACAATATTGTGTTTTAAATTATTTCCTTTTATTTCAATGGTTAATTGTCGACATGGTTTAACGTGAAGATAAACCATGTTTAATGTTCTTTTTCTGGTGTTGGTGTATTAATCACGTAACTTATCTCCAAGTATCTCTTCAAATTTGACCTTGTTGGACTAATGTATTTTTGGGTTGGAATACCTTTTGTACTCTCTTTTAACAATATTTTGTTTAAATTAAAGGAGAAACACATCCCAGTACTCAAAACTCTAATTGTAAAGAAGAAGGGGGAGAAAGCTCTCTTTCCAGTTTAAGTTCAATGAAAGAAAATAGTGGGTGAGATACGAAAGTTGATGTGATATATAGAAAGAGGAGAATGGTCGAAAAAATATCATAAACAAATTTGTACGAATATGTCATGTAAATAGATAAGTACTATGATAAATAAGTTGGTTTATTTACAGAAAGAGTTTACTAGGAAAAAATGGTTTTTTGTTTTCATTTTTGTTGATTATTAAACTATAACGTGGGAGGTAGTACATAGAAGTAAAGTATAAAGTAGGAGTTGAGATGCCAGGGATCTTAAATATGGTCTTACAGTTGACAAAATCAAGATCTGATCCCAAGGTTTTTTTCCTTCATATGGGATTTCGTACGGGGCTCATATTCCATGGTAATAGATGATGTCATGTTAACTCAAATATTATAATGAGATGCATGTTAAACCTTGGAATATTTTTCCACCATTTCCACTCTATAACAAAAAAAAGGGTGAAATGAATCTCGTCAAATTGTTGGCCATTAGCAGGCACATGTAGCACGAGTTCCCTCTTCAATCCTCAACCAATGGCTGGGTTCTCTTTCCACGATAAAAAGACATTATTGTTCATGCGAGTCATGCCCTAACATGCACAAATAGAGATGGAAAGAGTAGCATGAAATTCAGGGTAGCAGCCACGATGTGCATGCCCTAGCGTGTGCCCTAGTGTTAGTGATGGAAAAAGGTTTGTATTATTAGCACGATGGCATCAATTAAACGTGGTGTTAGGCGGCTTAATTACGTGGTCTAAAAGGATAAGAAAAAGCCTATGTAATTTGATGGTAAATAATAACACTGTGAAACAATGGAAGAGGCGTGATGCTTTTGGCTCACCTTTTTTTCTGTGCCCTGGTTGGAGATTTTTTACAAGACCTTGTTAGATTCTTGATCACACAAAGGGCAATTGTAAAGGTCAATGACCCAGGATAAACTTCTCACTTAGTAGCAATGGTTAGTTTTGTCTTTTTGGTAATGGGAGGGTTCACTTATCAAATATAGTAGGGTGCCCACTTGCCTATTTTTATTAAATTTTAACATTGAAGCTTATGGACTGATTAATTTAATCGGAGGTTCATTAAGAAGCCAACTAAAGTCAAATCATAGATGCGTCCTTGTGTGTCCAAGATAAGAAACGTCTTCGGGACGAGGTAATTGACTTTGGTGCCTTAAAAGTAGCGTATATACTTTTATATATAAATCATAGGAAGGACAAAGGAGGAGATTCTTCACAACCTCAACCTTCTCCTCAATTGATGGGTAGAGGCCCAGAAAAGCACACAAACATGGAAATTGATCTCTCTTTGAAGATAGATTCTGATCATGAACAAAACGCACAAGTAGATGTGCAAGTGAAAGACTCTGACGAGGAAGAAATGGCACAGATTCCGGATAATAACAAGGAAGAAGTCCCTGAAGCTACAGCTGGTGAAATAGAAGATGATGCATCAGTGGTAGAGACATCTTTGCAAGATAACACAAAAACAAAAGAGGTACTTGTATTTTCATTATCAGTGACTAGATCCAAAAGCATAGCCTCCTTCTGACCCCCCTCTTCTACCTTCTTAATTTCATTATGACGAGTGAGTAAAATAACAGTGTTTGACTAACTTTTTTCTCTTTCTCTCAATATAATCAATGTTTTTCTTATGCATATATATATATATATATATATGCATGAGTAACTCTTGAAAACACAGAATTCTTTTGATAACGTTTAATTGCTTGCGTATGATATATATTTGTTAAATTAGAACGTTAAAGGGTATGGTTTTGCTCCAGTTAAGTGTCCTACAAATGGAGATGGAGAGCATGAAGGAGGAGAACAAAGTTCTGAGGAAAGTTGTAGAGCAAACAATGAAAGACTATTATGATCTGCAGATGAAATTCTCAGTTATCCAGGAAAACAATAAAAGAAAGGTAAATCTTTATAATATTGATCTTCATTGACTTTCATCTTTATTTTATATATACAATAACATGCAGATCCCACTTTTATAGGATCATGAAATTTCTCTCTCACTTCAAAACCTTTCGACCACCAACGGCGAAGGACCATCGAGAATTCTTGAGATCTTTAATAAGAAAATTCAAAGTGCTCCACCTCCTCCAAATACTGATGCTGATAGTTTAAGCGAGAGTGAATTGGGTTTATCACTGACCTTGCAACCAAGCACAAGTCAAAAAGAAAGTGATGTGGGAAACAAGGAAGACAGAAAAGATCAAGAATTGCCAAGTTTTGCATCAGTGCAGAGCAAACTACAGCGGACACATGAGTTACCCGGAATTACTACCCATGCTATCTCCCCTCCAAACAGAAAAGCTAGGGTTTCGGTTCGAGCAAGATGTGAAGCTGCCACAGTGAGTTCAAAATCTATATATTTTTATAATTACTATATTCTTCAAGTTACTATATTATGAGATTGACATTTAACTAATCACCTCAATGTTGTTATAGATGAATGATGGGTGCCAATGGAGAAAATATGGACAGAAAATTGCGAAGGGAAATCCATGTCCACGAGCCTATTATCGTTGCACTGTAGCTCCAGGTTGCCCGGTTAGAAAACAGGTAATTTTCAAATATATATATCCCTTTATGTTTTACTTGAAGGATATGATTTTTTTTTTCTATAGTCTTTCACAGTGAAAAAATAATTTCACATTGTTCAAGAAAAAGACATTCTAAAAATGTTTTTTTTTTGGGGGGATTAATTCTAACATATGCTTCAATTAAGTTTAATTATTGAACTTAGTTTTATGAAAATCAATATTACCCAAATATAAGAAGAAACAGTTTAAACAAACACAATCCATTTGAAATTACATGGGGCTTAATTTTGAGCATTAATTGCTAATACAAAAGTATTATAAATTCATCAAGACTTATCCTTTTATTAATTTTTTTTAAAAGATTTTTATTCTTTCTAATATATCTTCAATTCCTGTGTTTGTTAAATTTACATATATAGGTGCAAAGATGCATAGATGACATGTCCATTCTTATTACAACCTATGAAGGGACACATAACCATCCACTCCCCGTGGGTGCAACTGCTATGGCTTCTACAGCTTCTGCAGCAGCTTCCTTCATGCTGCTAGATTCAAGCAACCCTATTTCGGATGGTGCCTCTAGTTTCACTCAAGCACCCCTTACTTACAACACCTTCCATCAAACTTCAAACTTTAGGAGCATAAACCCTAGTGATCCATCCAAAGGGATTGTTCTTGATCTCACTAGCAACCTCAGTGAACCACTACGTTTTTCTACTGGTAGCTCCTCCAATACCACAACTGATACTCGCTTTTCTTGGATGTCAAACAAATATCAAGGTGGTGGTGCAATGGCAGTGAACAACAATTTTCACAAGCCTAGAGCTGTGGATATTCACGATAGAATTTGGAAAGGAGAAGAAAGCAAGCCACTAGATGACAATGTGTCTGCAATTGCCTCAGATCCTAAGTTTAGGGTTGCTGTTGCTGCAGCCATAACATCTCTCATGAATAAAGAGAGTCACACTGCTACTCATCCTATAGGGACTTCCTTTGGTCCTAGGAGTGGCCAAAATGGTAGCTAGCTTTAGCTCTAGCTAGTAAAAATCTCTTTCAAAAAATGGTAATCATACTTGATTTTTCACATTGATGATAAGAGTAAGTTTAAGACAAAAAGGAATGTTACAGTGTTTACCCACATGTTCAATAAACTCATTAGATATTACATTTTGTGTATCTTCTTATAAATAATCATAAGGGGTGGTTTCTTCTATTTTCCTTGTAATTTCTTTTCTGAGTTATTAATTGTTGTTGGTTGTTGTATAGAGTAAGGTTTGCTCAATTAACTTGTTGGATGGTATACACTTAGTGATGGACTTTTAACTAATGCAGTTAGTTAGCCAAGGCTCAATTATTAAAGTAATGCAAAGCCTTTCTTAAATGTGTTTTAAGTCTTTATAGTGTACTAATGTGGATTCAAGTTGATAGTTAAAGAAGCATTTGGTTTAATATACTTTTCCTCTTTGAAGGGATGGGATATATATAGAAAATGAATATGGTTACGTGCTTCATTTAATTAATTGAACACAATTGTTACATGAAGTTCAGATGCATGTGTTCATTAATGTGCATGTGTTCACACCGAAATAACAATATCTGTCACTATTTGTACATATTTAGAATAGCCGTGTTTGATTTTTATTATTTAATTTTATTATTTGGATATATTTATATGTCTTATCATTGATAAGAAATATACCTGAATTTTAAGAATACAAATGTTTAAAAAAAACATATTAAAAAATAAACCCATCACAATTCTAAACACATTATATATATATATATATATATATATATATATATATATATATATATATATATATATATATATATATATATATTACCTGAAAAAGGGGTTTGAGCTTTTTTCGATACTTAATTAAGTATGTGAATGAGAATAAAGAATTTGAGTAAAATGAACGAGATAATATACTTGTTTTATATAATGATGAATTACCATAACTACTCAAGATAATAGGGATATTTATTCTATCTGTTAATTGAACATTTTGGAGTAGTTTCCAAGAATTTTGGAATGAGTTGATACCTAGATATCTTGGGTATGACTAATGTACTCAGATATTACCGAGATATTTGGTCCAAGTATCTCGATAATTATAGTGTTTGTAACTGATTAAGTACACATGCCCTCCAAACTCAAAGTTTCTTGGTGTACTGGTATAAAGTTTTTTCAATAACCAAGCTTTGTTTATTAAATGAAACAAATGCATTATAAGATTCATAACAACAAAATATTTCATAATAAAGAAATAAAATGAAGTTCATGTTCTTCATAGTAGTGATAAACTAGTTCGACCAAGTAATCATCTCGTATTTATTTTCCTATAGCTAGATAAATATTTCTTCTTCTCAATGTGAGTCTTCACCTGTATTAGTTTTCTTTCTTTCTCGGATATTTAGGCTCTTGCTTGTATATATGTTTGGTATTCAAGTCTGTTTTTGAAATTTTAATATTACTAAGAGGTGTTAATTGAACAACAATAATAACAAACAATACAACGATAAATAGTATGTGTGCATCAAATAATACCAATCATTGATCATTATTGTCATGCTGGGTGACCTATATAGATTTATGTAGCATATGACCTTAATAGGCTTATAATATCATGTTTATGTCACCATAATTTAGCTTTTGCACTGTGATTTGTTTTTAGGCCTTTTAGCTATAATATGGAGTGTGACATTTCATGTTTGGGTATTAGAGATCCCGATAGGTGCTTTACCTTTTACACACCATTGTTCAAATATTCAAAAATTATAAATGGTTCATCCCAATTGGGTGTTCATTTTCCATAATTTTTGTTTTGTCAGGTTTGTCCAACATTTTGCCATACTAGATCTCCCTTGTAGAATTCTCTAGGTCAGACTTTCAAATTGTATCTCCTAGTGGCTCCCAGTTTAGTTGTTGTAGCTTTTATCTTAATTATTTCCCTACTTCATGAATTAGGTCAAGTTTGGTACAAACCTTTTCTTCATTCTGTGTCTCGTTGAAGCTTTGTCGTCTCCAAGATTCTTCTTTGGCTTCCATGAGTATCATAGCTTTTGTGTCATATGTGAGTCTAAAGGATATTTTCTACATAGATGATTGAGAGTACAATGGTATCCCCATAATATTTTGGGTATTTTCTTAGCCCATAGTCTTTTTGCTTGTTTGAGCTTTTTCTTTAACTCGTTAAAGATGAATTTATTGGTTGTCCCGACTAGTCCATTTATTTGTGGATGTTCGATTGATGTTACCTTTTGTCTAATGTCGAGTTGTTGTAAGAATTGCCTAAATCCTTTATAGATGAATTGTCTTCCTTTGTCTATTACTACGATGTGAGGAAGGCCATGTCGACATATTATGTTTTTCCATGTGAACTTCTGCACCTGTTGAGTTGTTATTGTCGTTAGAGGATTATCTTCTATCCATTTTATAAAATAATTTATGACTACTATGAGAAATTTGACTTGTCCTCTGTCCATGAGGAAGGGTCTGAGGATGTCCATTCCCCATGATATGAAGGATCATGGTGTAGTGATGTTGTGCAACTCTTCTGGGGTGACATACATGGGGGGGCATGTTGTTGGCACGCCTCACACTTCTGGATGAATAACTTGACATCTGCTTTTATGGTGGACCAATAATAGCCTATTATGAGTACTCATGTTATGATCGTTTTGGTTCCCAAGTGTAGGTCACATATATCGTTATAGATTTCCGCCATGATGTATTGTGTTTGGTCCTCGTCTAGACATTTAAAAGTGGAGTCGAGTATCCTCTTTTAAAGAATTCTCCATTATGCATTACATATTGAACAAATCTTCTTTTAATTTTCTTGGCTATTTGTTTCTTTTTGGGTAGCAAATCTTGTGTCAGGTATTGTATAATTGATGTCTTCCATGTTGGTCGAGTTGTGTCGATCTGAAAAGTTTCGTATGTATCTCAACTTGGTGTAGTTAAGATTTCTTGTATCAATGTCTTATGTTGTTCGGGGTTTTTTGGTGTTGAATAGTTTTGATAACACATTAACTCGTTCGTTCTATTCTCTGGGTATGTGGTGCACATCCATCTTTTGGAAGTCTTTCAACATATTTTTGGCTATGTGATGGTATTTTTGCATGGCGAGTTCCTTGGCTTGGAAATCTTTCAAGATTTTTCCGGTGATGAGTTTCGAGTTGCTCTGGCATTGTAAGTATTTATCTCCCCCTTCTTTGGTGAGCTTTAAACTGGCGATAAGGGTTTCGTACTTGGCTTGATTTTTGGAGGTTGGGAATTCGAATCATAGTACTTGTTCCCATAGATGTCATTGTTAGGTAATCCAAGTATGAGTTAAGTCTCACATTGCGTAAGAATGAACAAGTTGAACAACATAGAAAGATCCAACAAGTGATATCAGAGCCAAAGGTTTATCGACAGTGGGTTAGAGTGGTCTTTGTATCAAAAGTCCTCTTGACAAAGTGAATCAGGTAAACATATTTGATCAATGTCGTACTCGGTCAAATAATTAAAACAGATAAATGTAGTATTAGGAAGCTTTCCTAGGTCGTCTCCCAAAGATCATGAATTTCTATCAAAGCTTGTCAATTTTTCGAATTAGAACAGCAACAAAAAGGGGAAATTTTCAGATTTAAAATATTAGATGAAACAGAATAAAAGCAAATTATAAAAATGCGGATTAAAAACATATTAGAATGCAATTGATTTTCTGATTCCAATGCAGTGTCACTTATCCTAGGTTACAAAAATAATTCGAAATTAACCAACTAAGCGAAGATTAACCCCAAATTATATTCCAATCCAAAATTAATCAACTAAGCAAAGATTAATCCCAAATTAGCTTTAACCCTTATTCCAATATGAAATTAACCAACTAAGCGAAGATTAATCCCAAATTTTCCTTAACTCTTATTCCAACATGAAATTAACCAACTAAGTAAGATTAACCCCAAATTATCCTTATACAATTAAGCATTGCATACATCATATAATCTTATCTCTAACATAGAATTAAGCAAATTGTGATATTAGTTTCAGTTTATTAAGTATAAACAAAATATAATTCAACACTGAGATTAGAAGATGAGGAGTTAAGAGAACAAATGAAATGAAATTGAAGAACAAAACTTCAAAGATCTACTTGTATTCTCCTTAGAAAATCAATACAAATCGAAAACACAGAAGAAGAGACATAATTAAAATCGAAAAAAGAATTTAAAATAATGACAGAAGAGTAAACAAACTTGAATACAAATTGCAGAAGATGAAAGGCGGTTGAGTGACTGCTGCGTGGTGTGTTTTTCTCTCAACTCTACATCTCTCTTATACAAATAACCCTAACCCTAATCTTAATCTAGGTTTGGGCCCAACTGGTCCACAAAACACATCATAAGTTGGCTTTAGTGCAGATCCGTGAACTTCAAACACGTGCAGTATTTTCAATAATTATCCAAATTAAGCGATTCTGGTCTCCTTTGAAATTATTTTGAGTTAGCTTTAAAACACCACTGTTTCTACTATTGCATCACCCCTTGCACTGAATTGCTGGAATTTGAGGTCATTTTCTCTATCAATCGTCTAGCCTCTACAAGAGTCATATCACCAAGTGCACCACCACTCTCAGCATCAATCATATTTCTTTCCATGTTGTTCAGTCCCTCGTAAAATTATTGAAGTAGTAGTTGTTCGGAGATTTGGTGGTGGGGACAGCTTGCACATAACTTCTTGAATCTTTCCTAATACTCATAGAGGTTTTCTCCAATTTGTTGCCTGATTCCTGATATATCCTTCCTGATAGCAGTGATTTTGGAGGAAGGGAAGAATTTCTCCAGGAACATCCTTTTCAAATCATCCCAACTAGTAATGGACCTAGGAGCTAAGTAGTACAACCAATCCTTTGCAACTCCCTCCAAGGAATGAGGAAAAGCCTTCAGAAACACATGGTCTTCTTGGACATTTGCAGGTTTCATGGTGGAACAGACAATGTGAAATTCTTTTAAGTGTTTGTGAGGATTTTCACCT